TAGACAGATTCCATTTTTGAACACAATTGTCCTTTATTTTGTACATCAAGAAAAGGGGCTAGGGAAGGGTAAGGGGAAGGAGGGGAGGGAGGAATGGGGCACGAGCCCCTCAGGGCGGGGGCTGGGCTTGGGAGGGGCAATGGGGAGGAGCGGGGAGGGGGCCGGGGGAGGGGAGCAGGATTCTGTGGGCTTGGGGGCCTGGGCTGCTCTTCTTCCATCAGGCCTGGGAGCAGCACCCTCGCTAGCTGCGATAAAGCCCCTTCCTTGCCTCTGCCTGGCCCTTGCTGGGCCCTGAGGCTCAGGGGGGCATTTACTGGGCAGCAGTTACTTGTAGAGGGTCTGCTCACTGGGGGGTTTCTCTCTGCATGTGGCAGTAGTTTTGCAGCATATCAGTATGAAGACAAATACCCTGAAGTCTGTGATCCTCAAGTGCTTATCTATCATTTTTCTACGTTTTCTGAATAGGTTCAGTTTTTAAAGAATTCTGTCATCGGTTTTGTGGGCCAAATGTTACTGCTTTATAACTTTTTATAATATGAAGCGAGGTAGTGCTTAAACCCACCATTTCATTGTTTGGGGGTGGAGAGGAAGGATTTTTTGTATGTGCAATATCCAAAAAGGCTATCCCAATGTGTTACCTATTGCTAGTGACATAATCAATGAGGCATGAGACTGCAAGGATCCTGAATGATCTTGCCCTTTGAGGGTAAGGTGTGCGTGGGTGGATGTAAACCGTTCTTTATTAAATCTGTTTTAGAAGCTGCACCGCTAAAATATTCTCAGTTCCTTTTTTTAAATTGTTGTAGAAAAATGCATTATGAATGATGGTCCTTGATTACTAAAATCAACCCCAAGAGCTCATATTCTGAACATGAGGATAATAAAGACTTGGAAAGAAGGTAACACTTTTACTTAAAATTACTAAAAAGTTCATCTCTGTCAAAATGAACATTCTTTGAAAAAAATCTGAAGAACAGCCGTGACTTGAAAAATGGGAGAAAGAACAAGGAGCTTGGATTCTGACCATGATAGAACATCTGATGGTGATAAAAATAGCAACTCATACTATTCAGATGAAGATAATGCCTCTGACCCATCCCTTACACTAAGCTCCCAGTCTACAAGCCATGGAAAAAAAGATCACAAAACACAGACTTTGAGCAGCCTTGTGAATTACCAAGGTAAGTAGATCACAGCATATGGCAACCTGAAACAGATCGCAAGTATGAATAGTATTTTCAACTTGGAGGGAAGAAAATGTAAATTATTTTATATGGGGTAAGTTGTCTGTAATTTTTCTTTTAATAACTGAAATTAGCCTTTACATATAAAACTCTGCTAATCTAAATTTTAGATTATTTATTTTTTCTGATAAAATATGAAAAGAATAAAAATTCTGCCTGGTCCTATCCTCTAATTTCATCAGAACTTTAGATCTGCTAATGTGTCCAAAGTGGACATTGGATCTCTTGATTCAAACCACTTTTATACAGTATATGTAATAAATCCAGGAAACAATTTTTATTATTTCTTAGCCAAAATGTCCCAAAGATCTTTTTATGGTTATCTGTTTTACTAGACTTTCTACTGTAGTTATATGTGGTGTGTGCTTTCTCAAAAGAAATATTTATATTACCATTCCTGGAGCTTCAAAAACAAAAGGATTTTAACCGATTATTCTCCAAAGTTTAAATTATTTCCACACCCATCTCCCTAGCAACACATCTCCACTCAATTCCCTTAGAAATCTCCCCATCCAGCAAAATAGTGAGAGGAAAATAGCTCTACGGCTCCTAAGGTGGCTAACTGAACAGTTTCTATGCTGAGTTTTGGCTACTTATACTAAGTCATCCCACTTAACTCTCAATTAAATTACAACATATATCCCATCTTTCTAAAAGATGTACGCTGTCTTACTCAGAAGCCATGAATGTCTCAGGGTTTTTTTTGACGCCTCTGGTTTTCTCAAGGAGTGTTGTCATAGGTCTCGGAACTCTAGCCTTCACCTCTGACTGAGCAAAGATCTGCAACCTTTTCCCTTCCAATGGGGGAGTTAGGTTGCAGTCCCCTGCACCTCATTATGACTAATCCAGCAGGCCTGATCAGAATCTAGCAGTTCTGCTTTGATTTCTTTCAAAGAAGCTATGAATCATAGAATATTAGAACTGAGAAAGACATCCAGAGGTCATCCAATTCAGTCCCCTGCATTCTGGTCAGTACCAAGCATGCTCTAGATCAGGGCTACTCAACACTTGGCCCGTGGGCCACATGCAGCCCATGGTGCGGTTTGGGTTTACGCAGGGCTCAACAGGCGGTTCGTGGGTGGGATTCTTTGAACGTGGCCTCCACTGGGAACACACTCCACAATGGCGAGGCCTCTCCTAGGTGAGGTGAGGTGAACACTGAAAGACACGAATGGACAGGCTGGCTGGAACAGACGGGTACTAGCCCCCGGCGTTTCCAGCCCCCAGGGAGGAGGTGTCGGGAGCGCAAGGGCATTGTGCAAAGTGCATTGTATTCATGCCTGTCAGTGTGAAAGAAACTACTTGCCTATATATTTGCATGTATATACATGCAGACCTTGGCATGTGCTGTGAGTATCGTAGTGGCCCCTGGGGCATCCAAAGTTGAGTAGCCCTGCTCTAGATCATCCCTGGCAGGTATTTATCTAACCTGCTCTTTAAAATCTTCAATGATGGAAATTCTACAGCTTCTGTAGGCAATTTCTTCCACTGGTTAACCATCCTGACTGGAAGTTTTTCCTAATGTCCCACCTAAGTCCCCCATACTATAGTTTAAACACCTTGTCCTATCATCAAAGATTAAGGAGAATAATTTTCTCTCTCCTCCTTGTAATACCTTTTTAGATACTTGAAAATGGTTACAGAACCATAAAATAATAGAACTGGAAGGGACCTCGAGAGGTCATCAAGTCCAGTCTCCTGCACTCTGGTCAGGACCAAGCACCCTCTAGTCTAGATCATCTCTGATAGACGTCTATCCAACCTGCTCTTAAATATCTCCAGTGATAGAGATTCCACAAGTTCCCTAGGCAATTAATTCCAGTGTTTAACCACGCTTACAGGAAGTTTTTCCTAATATCCAACCTAAACCTCCCTTGCTACAATGTAAGCCCATTGCTTCTTTTCCTATCATTCATTCAAGTCAATACAATAGTTGCCAAATATACTGCATTTTGTACAATAATATCTGTGACAATGGCCTTGATGCAGGAATCGCTCAATGGAATTCTGTGGCCTTTGTTATGCAAGACTTCCAACAAGATCCTAATGGTTCTGTCAGGCCTCAAATTAATGAACTACCTATGGGTCATGGCCTCTAATCTGCATTCTTTGTTGGCCTATGTTGTCAAGGGTGAGGAATCTTTTTTGGGTCAGGGGCCACTGACCCATAGAAAAATCAGCCTGGGGCCACACAGCACACAAGTGAGAAGCCAAAAAAAAAGCCCCAAACCCTCACTGACATGGCCCCTGACTAAAGATAGACACCTCCCCTACATTTCCCTCACATACCTAGAGCGTAGGAGGGCCCAGCCTAGTAGATTTTGTGTGCTCCAGCCCTGAAGTGAGGTGGTGGGGAGGCTGGAGTTCCAGTACGGCTCCCCAGTGCTGGGAGGGGAGCTCTGCACCTTGGGGGCCAAATCTAGACAAGCCAGAGGCTGCATCCAGTCTGTGGGCCTTAGGTTCCCCACCCCGGCCTATGTGATGCTGACATGGTGCTCAATTTAGCTGTATTAAATCTAATCCCCCTGCCTATATGTTAGTTTCACATATAGGTCTCTGGGAAACAAAGTTGCTATGCTTTTGTTGCAATACCTTGTGGGGGAAAGTAGTTGGTTATTGAGGTGGTGCACCAAAAACTGAATTTATCTGTTGATATGAAGGCATACACATCAAATGTCTTTTAAAAATAGCAGGATCAACACGCCAACCTTTTGTTGACAGATTTATACAGATGGTCAAAAGTGAAAAATCATTTGTGAGAATCTGGGGTGCTTGATTAAGGATTGGAAAATAAAATCTGTATTGATTAGATTTATGTGAACCAGTTGAGGCTGGGGATTAGCCTTTTATACTGGCATGTAATGTTCCAAATGCTCTCTATATGAAAGGAAAACTGAGTATTGGATATGATCAAGCTATGAAAAAACTGAATATCAACTTATTGAATGAGTGTCTGTTTATGAAATGCTTTAGGGGAAACTGACAATATCTCAAAGCTGCTGTTTTGCCATAGAATGCTGTCTGTAGAATAGAGGCAGATACGGTAAGTGCCAAAAGGGAAATAGAGAAGTTAGTGCTTGTTCCTTTACTAATACTGGCTTGTGCACTGTGATATATTTCTGCTATATGCCGGCTCTTGGTTCAGAAGTGGCAATGGCAGGTATAGAATGGCATCCAATATGTTGCTTCTAAGGGCTATTTTGAATTAGTGTGGTAATAACAGCGTATATTCAGGTCTGGAACAAAGTTAAGGGGGTGGGTGTGTGCATGCGCACACGTATTATATGTACGTGTATATTGATCCCAAATCTCTTTAAAATATTATTTGTCTGTATATACATAAAACACACATAGAAATAATATTTTTAAACTAATTGGGATTAGTATTTATTAATAATAAAATGAGGATGCTCCTTGGAAAATAACATGTGACAATTAAAATTTATTCAGTGAAGAACAAAATTTTCAAAGTGTTTATCACTCTGTTCCTAAGTGCATTGAATACATTGTTGTCACTGTCTTTATTGCAAGTACAGTAGCAGGCTTCCAGAAATACCACATACATACTTTGGAATTTATCTAATAAAATTGCAGCATGATTACTACAAAAGTACCAGAATTTCTTGATGATTACCATATTAAAGGCACTTGGATGATATTGTGTGTACAGAAATGCAGTATTTCTATTTAAATATTTTATTATTAAATTTGAAAATAATTAACAAAAATGTAATTGTCAAAGAGGATTACCATAATGTTTCATTTTGATGGTTGGTAAACAGCATATTTGGTTTAAAAAATCTGCGTAAGAAGAAAAATCAAAGTATGTATAGCAGCTTTGCTCTGTATCCATAAACATAGCTCTCTGTCTTGTTGTCATGACTGTGAAAATAAACATGTTTGTGTTTAATTTTTCTAAAGAAAACCAACCTGCCATAGATACTGTTAAAATATCTCAGAAGAAAAGGGCTTTATTTTGAGGAAAATGCCTTCTTAAGTAGAAAAATAATAATATGCTGTGTTGAGTTCTTTATAGTAAAATCTGCTTCTTTTTTTAAGCCACTAAGAAACCAGTTTCCAAATATGCACCAGCCAAAAGAGGGACACGGTGGGGTTTTCGCTCACAGAGTCTCAATAGGGATTCTCCTGCAAAAGATATAGATCTTGTTACAAAAAGAGTTCTTTCTGCCAGGCTGCTAAAAATCAATGAGCTTCGGAATGAACTAACTGAACTCCACATCAAACTAGATGAGCTGCAGAAAGAAAACAGGGCACTGAAGAGGCTTCAGTATAGGCAGGAAAAAGCCTTGAATAAATTTGAAGATACAGAAAATGAAATCTCTCAGCTCCTCGCTCGACATAACAATGAGATTAGAATATTAAGGGAGCGTTTACGAAAATCTCAAGAGAGAGAACGCACAACTGAGAGAAGACTGAAAGATTCAGAGGATGAGCTGTATAGGACAAAAAATTCTTTGCAAAAATTGAAAAAGCTATCTGCACATAAGCACTTAGCTGAACGAGATGAACTGGCAAAGAAGCTAGCCTCAACAGAGAACAGTCTGGATGAAAGTGAAAAAAGAATTAAGGTGAGAAACTTTCTTTGACTTCCCTCACCCATTTTTTGAAAATTTAACAATTTAATGTAACTGTTCAGGAATGCTTCTTTTCGGTGTGAGTATTATACAGTAACTTGTATTATCCATTTTACTGCAGTAGGGTGACTAGTAAAAGATTTCTGTCGCAAATAAGTAACACCGTGTTAATTGTTAGATAATTTTTTATAATCTGTGTAGTACTCTATACGTATATGTTTATTAACAATGTTGGTTAATCCTATGTTTTATTTTGTGTTTATATTATAGACTTGGTTTTAAACTAGATGCTAATCAGTCAACAAGAATAGTATGCAGCTAATTCAATTGTTTATTATCTAGTTTATGCTGCCTGATTAGATAGTTTTATAAAATATATTATAGAAGTTGCACCTCCCTAATCCGTGACTCTCACATCCGGCAACATCTGTGGCCTGACAGGACCGTGGATATTGCTGAACGAGAGAGTCCGGGGGCAGGAGTGCCAAGAGCCCCAGCAACCAAGAGCTGGGGGTAACAGGACTCTTAGTAGTAGTGGGGCCATGGTCGCAGGAAAGGGGTAGCCCATACATGCCAGCCTTTCAGTGGGGTTGTGCCACATGAGCCTGAGCGGGGCTGCATGCCAGCCTGGTAATGGGGACAGCTGTGGCAGCCTGGCTGGCAGTAAAGCTAGGGTGGGGTAGCTCAGCAAGGGAAGCCTGTCTAGGGTTGCAGCAGGTCAGCAGCCTGATCGGGGCCACTTGCCAACTGGCAGCGGGGCTGGTACCGCAGCAGCAGGGCCAGGGCTGCGTTATGCCTTGCCAGCAGTGGGGCTGAAGAAGTAGCCGTGGCAGCAGGGCCAGGGCAGCTGTGTCACTCAGCCAGCAGCTGGGCCAAAAGAACCAGCAGCAGGGAGGGGCAGTTGGCTGAGGGGGCTGGAGGCAGGGGACCTTCCCTGGACCAACAAATTTCCTCATGTGGGACTGTTCAGGAGCTGAGGGTGCCAGACCAGTGAGGTCCACCCTGTAGTTTTAAAAATAAATTATCTAGTAACTTAGCATCCATGCAAAATTTGGTTATTCTGAATAGACTGGTTCTTGAATAATCTTCAAAGAGTTACCATAATTTTGTTTAAAATTATCTTGTGTTATTTTAAGTATTTATTTTAGAAATGTGCATAATGGTTGGGAAATCACTGTGAGGCTATCATCCCCTCCTCCAGTCTTACCTGAGTTTTTCATGGCATTCTTCTATTTCTAATATACCAGTTTAAGATCTCTGTTGGGTCACATGGCCTCTGTGTCACAGAATCATGGAGGTGTACTGCAAGTTCCCAGTACCTCCTCAGAGCTGTCCCCCTGGATGTGCATGACATGATGTTGGATACCTGCCAAAACCTTATATGACTCTCCCCCATGGTTAACATCTGGATTTGATTGGGTTCCCGTGGACAACAAAGTCAAATGGCCTCTGTACTATACTAGCGGCAAAGAGTCAGGTTTGACACTCAAATAAAATGTTTATATATTTTGTTTATTGAAAAATGTTTTTTTCAAACATTCTGTCATCGTATGACCTGTAGGATTTGGAGAAAAATCTTGAGCTGAATAACAGCAGTTTCCAACGACAGTTGCAGTCTGAGAAAAAGAAGGTACATGAGGCCCTAGAAGAAAATAAAGCTCTCCAAGAAGAGCTTCAACAACTAAATCAAAAGCTAAAGGTAAAAACAATTTCTTTAAGTGACTTTAGTTGTGGGAGTATTTTATTTTTTTGAAATATTCTGAAAAATAAATCCTTTTCTGCAGTTTGATTTACATTCCTTTTTAAAATGTAATATATTATCTGAGTTCTAGAATAGCTGTATGAAAGGGAATGTGTTAATGTCAGTCATCGTTATTTATTGTTTGCATTAGGTTGGAAAAGTGTAGATCAAGTACACGCTCAGTGATTTCTGATTGTGTACTTGATCTAAGCTACATAGAAAACTAGGGGCTGGATTTTTAACATTAAACCGGCTGGTAAGCATGTGCAACTATTGTCACTGTACTCCTAGACTGAGTAATTGCAAATGCATACTAGCATTTGGCATCCATGTTTACTTTATTTCATTGGTCACCAACCAGTGTATCATGATCGACCTGCTCAATTCCAGAGGCACTGACAGTCGATCTCGGTGCAGTGAGTGTTCCCAGCTCCTCTGCCCCCATCCCTCCTTGCAACAAGGAACTCGCACTGGTGCTACAGTCTCCTGCATCTTGCAAAATTGGAGCCAGCACCGGCTTCCTGAAGGAGGGGCGAGTCCCAAGGCTCCGTGCCAGATCCAGCTTGTTAGGAAGCACATGCATGCTGCTCCTCCCCTCCCCACGATATCGCACGTGCTTCCTTATCCACCCTACCTTCCCCCATGCTCCAGGGAGCCTGGGTCAGGGGGGTGGGGGAGCTAATGTGGTGGTGGAAGATCCAGACTTTGAGCAGCTGTTTTTTTTTTTTTAAAGGAGTGGCAACTGCCCTTCTTCCAAATCCTTGCTTGCAAATCCTGCTTGAGAGATACACATCCCTAGAGACCCCCAGGTATTGGCTGAGCTGCTCCTGCCCCTTCTCTTCTGGCCAGCCCCCTGCTCCTGCCCCCTGGCCAAACACTCACCAGCACACTGTTCTTGTCCCCTCCCTCCTGGCCAGACATCTACCCCTGGCTTGCTCCTGCATCCTACCTCCCACCCCATCCCTATCCCACTCACTAGCAGCTCTGTCCCACACATTGGACACCTCATTTTTGGTCCCACCCTAGAGCCTGGGGGGGGGGCACAAAATCCACTAACCCTGGAACCCCAGAAGTTAACCTGGCCTGAGGCCTTGAACCTTAGTCATTCCTGCCCCTCTCCCCTCTATGGGGCTGGAGTGCCAAGGGAATGAGGTGTCTCAATTGGGGCTACATCAGTGAGGATTGGGTGTTTTTGAAGGGGTTGTTTTTTTGCATCTGACTTGTGTGATTGCTGAAGGTGCATGAGTGGCCCCTGACACAAAAAAGGTTCCTGGCCCTCATAAATAAAGACATAATATGTCTTTTATGTTGGACATAATATTTTATTTAAAAATGAAGCCTGGTCAACAAGCCCCCAGTTGGAGCCAAGCCCCATCTGACTGCTGTATCATAACACTCCTGCAAACTCCCCCCTCCCCCCCCTGAGGGGGCTGGAGGCAGGGGACCTTCCCTGGACCAACAAATTTCCTCATGTGGGACTGTTCAGGAGCTGAGGGTGCCAGACCAGTGAGGTCCACCCTGTAGTTTTAAAAATAAATTATCTAGTAACTTAGCATCCATGCAAAATTTGGTTATTCTGAATAGACTGGTTCTTGAATAATCTTCAAAGAGTTACCATAATTTTGTTTAAAATTATCTTGTGTTATTTTAAGTATTTATTTTAGAAATGTGCATAATGGTTGGGAAATCACTGTGAGGCTATCATCCCCTCCTCCAGTCTTACCTGAGTTTTTCATGGCATTCTTCTATTTCTAATATACCAGTTTAAGATCTCTGTTGGGTCACATGGCCTCTGTGTCACAGAATCATGGAGGTGTACTGCAAGTTCCCAGTACCTCCTCAGAGCTGTCCCCCTGGATGTGCATGACATGATGTTGGATACCTGCCAAAACCTTATATGACTCTCCCCCATGGTTAACATCTGGATTTGATTGGGTTCCCGTGGACAACAAAGTCAAATGGCCTCTGTACTATACTAGCGGCAAAGAGTCAGGTTTGACACTCAAATAAAATGTTTATATATTTTGTTTATTGAAAAATGTTTTTTTCAAACATTCTGTCATCGTATGACCTGTAGGATTTGGAGAAAAATCTTGAGCTGAATAACAGCAGTTTCCAACGACAGTTGCAGTCTGAGAAAAAGAAGGTACATGAGGCCCTAGAAGAAAATAAAGCTCTCCAAGAAGAGCTTCAACAACTAAATCAAAAGCTAAAGGTAAAAACAATTTCTTTAAGTGACTTTAGTTGTGGGAGTATTTTATTTTTTTGAAATATTCTGAAAAATAAATCCTTTTCTGCAGTTTGATTTACATTCCTTTTTAAAATGTAATATATTATCTGAGTTCTAGAATAGCTGTATGAAAGGGAATGTGTTAATGTCAGTCATCGTTATTTATTGTTTGCATTAGGTTGGAAAAGTGTAGATCAAGTACACGCTCAGTGATTTCTGATTGTGTACTTGATCTAAGCTACATAGAAAACTAGGGGCTGGATTTTTAACATTAAACCGGCTGGTAAGCATGTGCAACTATTGTCACTGTACTCCTAGACTGAGTAATTGCAAATGCATACTAGCATTTGGCATCCATGTTTACTTTATTTCATTGGTCACCAACCAGTGTATCATGATCGACCTGCTCAATTCCAGAGGCACTGACAGTCGATCTCGGTGCAGTGAGTGTTCCCAGCTCCTCTGCCCCCATCCCTCCTTGCAACAAGGAACTCGCACTGGTGCTACAGTCTCCTGCATCTTGCAAAATTGGAGCCAGCACCGGCTTCCTGAAGGAGGGGCGAGTCCCAAGGCTCCGTGCCAGATCCAGCTTGTTAGGAAGCACATGCATGCTGCTCCTCCCCTCCCCACGATATCGCACGTGCTTCCTTATCCACCCTACCTTCCCCCATGCTCCAGGGAGCCTGGGTCAGGGGGGTGGGGGAGCTAATGTGGTGGTGGAAGATCCAGACTTTGAGCAGCTGTTTTTTTTTTTTTAAAGGAGTGGCAACTGCCCTTCTTCCAAATCCTTGCTTGCAAATCCTGCTTGAGAGATACACATCCCTAGAGACCCCCAGGTATTGGCTGAGCTGCTCCTGCCCCTTCTCTTCTGGCCAGCCCCCTGCTCCTGCCCCCTGGCCAAACACTCACCAGCACACTGTTCTTGTCCCCTCCCTCCTGGCCAGACATCTACCCCTGGCTTGCTCCTGCATCCTACCTCCCACCCCATCCCTATCCCACTCACTAGCAGCTCTGTCCCACACATTGGACACCTCATTTTTGGTCCCACCCTAGAGCCTGGGGGGGGGGCACAAAATCCACTAACCCTGGAACCCCAGAAGTTAACCTGGCCTGAGGCCTTGAACCTTAGTCATTCCTGCCCCTCTCCCCCCTATGGGGCTGGAGTGCCAAGGGAATGAGGTGTCTCAATTGGGGCTACATCAGTGAGGATTGGGTGTTTTTGAAGGGGTTGTTTTTTTGCATCTGACTTGTGTGATTGCTGAAGGTGCATGAGTGGCCCCTGACACAAAAAAGGTTCCTGGCCCTCATAAATAAAGACATAATATGTCTTTTATGTTGGACATAATATTTTATTTAAAAATGAAGCCTGGTCAACAAGCCCCCAGTTGGAGCCAAGCCCCATCTGACTGCTGTATCATAACACTCCTGCAAACTCCCCCCTCCCCCCCACACGCACACCTGAACCCTGAGCCCATCATACACCTGAACCCCCTGCCCTAAGCCCCTCACATCCCCAAACTCTTGCACCCCCCACATCCCCAGTCTTCTACCACAACACTTCACAACCACCCATATACCATAAACCTGTATCCTGAGCCCATCACATACCCATACCCAAACCCCAGCCCTGAGTCTCTCCTACACTGCAACCCAAACTTCTGCATCCCTATATCCCCAAGCCTGTGGCTTGTTCAGCACCCCAACCTTCCACCTGAGCCCAACACTTCCCAGCCTGGAGCCTCCTCCCTAAGCCAGCACCCCCTTCTCCTGCATCCAAATTCCTTCCCAGAGCTTGCACTTCTCACCCCTGCCCACACCCAGATCCCTCATTCCCATTCCAGAGCCCGCACCTCCAGAAAGCAGGTAATGGAGAGGAGGGAAGTGGAAAGGGCAGGGCCTAAAGGAAGGTGTGGAGTCTCAGGGAAGAGATGGGGTTGATCTTGGCTTGCCCTGACATTTAAAAAGTGATCTTGGGTGTAAAAAGATTGGAGACCACTGCTTCATCTGCACAAGTAAGGACTTGTTCATTTTAGGCATGAAAATTAGGCTATAAGATTTAGGTTATAAGAATCAATATTTTAAAAATTATAACAAATACTACTATTTCAGGGGTGGGCAATCATTTTTGATGGGGGGCCACTCCTAGATTTTCGAAAGTGGTTGAGGCCCGCACTCTTCCGTGATATTAATGAAGGAGATGAAAGTACTGGAATGGAGGTTGAGTGCAGAAGGGAGCTTGGGGTAAGGGATTGTGGTGCAGGAGGTAGAGTGGGGTTTGGGAGAGAGGTTGGGTGAAGGAAGCAGTTGTGACTTAGGGCAGGGGACTGGAGTGCAGGAGTTTGGGTTGTGTCTTAGGGCAGGAGGATATTGTGATCGGGGCTTGTGATTGGGGTGTCAGATCTGGGAGAGGATATGGGTGCAGGACAGGGGGCAGAGTGTTTGGGTATGTTGAGTGATGGGAAAAGAGTGGGGGAAGGAAGGGACTAGGGTGCCAGAGTCAGGCTCTGGTCAAGAGATGTACCAGCCAGCAGCCCAGCCAGCCTGCCTGCTTGCAGAGCTAAATATTTGCAGAGCTTAAAACGTTTCTCAGCCAGCCAGCTTGCCTGATTCCCTGTCCTGCACTTACACAGGCTGCAGGGCCATGCTCTTGTGTGAATAACTACAAGCCAAAGGGGAGGGGAAGTGTGGTGCTTCATGTGCTGTCTGTTATTTAAACAGGTAGCTCTCACTGGCCAGTTTCTGGCCAGAAACTTGCCAATGCGATTGTACTGGAGTTAGGAGCAGTGCCTGAAGCCTTTTCTTCCTCCCCAGGGGCAGATGACCATTTTGCGGGGCCCAGAGCAGCACAATTTCATGGGGCCCCCCTTTGCCACGGCGCATGCGCGGGGCTTCTTGAAGCGCAGGGCCCAGGGCAGCCACCCCACTCGCCCTGCCCTATATCCGCCCCTGCTCCTCCCCTACAACATCACAGTTTTGAAAGAAAAATGGCCTGGCAGCTGCTTTTTTGAGCAGCAAGCAGGGGAGCTCCCTGCTGTGTCTGCAGGCCGGATCGGGTGGCTTGGCGGGCCAGATTCAGCCCACAGGCCACAGGTGAGGAAAGCAGCAGTGCAGGGGGCTGCAGTCCCCTCTCTCTGCCATGCAGTCCTGCCTGCGCTGTTCACCACCGCCCAGACCTGCCCGCAGAGCCCAGGGCCACCCATCTACCTGCTGGGAGCAGAAAGGAAGGAGCCAACCGGTCAGTGTAACAGCTTCCCTGGGCAGCTCAGGGGTGCTCTGGCAGCTGTGATAAGTGCAGCCCCTGGGGAGTGAGTGAGTCTCCCTGGGGGCAGCCGGACTCTGGGTGGTCAGGCACCATACTCTGATTTCCCAAGAGTCTCGCAGTGGGGGAGCCCCCAAGAAACGACTTCTGACATATAAGCCCTGTTGGGAGCCCTGTTCCTAGTGCGTGTCCTTGGGCTGCTATCCCATGGGCTGTCATGGCTGCGGTGTGAGATCTGCTGGCTTCTGGGCCATGTTTCTTGGCATTGAAAGTCCTGTGGGTGGTGATGGAGGAAGGGGAGTAGGGGCTTGATTTAAAATAGCAATTCCCAGTGGCAAGGGGAAGCAGTCAGATTGGGCTCGAGATGGGAGAGCAGAGAGGGAGGAGACAGGCAGGATACAGAGTGATGTCATCACGTCACTTTGTCATCCTGCAGGAAAAACTTTTTTTAATACATAGAGAGATTAGCTACCTTGTTGAAACAGGGCCTATATCCCCAGCGTTGACCATCATACAAATAATGGTACTTGCATTTCCATGTCCTTTGCTGTATTCTCATTTTGAACAATACACCCAGAGCTAATTATAACAATGCTGCCAACTTGTAGTGTGGTGGATCCTGCTTGTCAGAGGTACTATCTATTCTATTAGCAGATAGTAATGCTAATAAGATTTTTTTTAACTCTGTATAATACAGAAAATGAATATGGCAGCCATGTGCATCCCTATTTGGACTAATACAATTTTAAGCATCTTTGTATGAAATTTTAGCCTTCAATTTTATCTTAGCAGTACAAGGATACAAAACTAAATGTTAGAGAATATTTTTGCAATCTGATGGAGGAGGGGAGTTTTGAGAAGAGAAGAAAACATGTAGTAGATACATGACTTAAAGAATTAAGAATTTGAACATTCTCTTTAAACATTGTGCTGAATAATTGAGGACCTTATCCAATAAAGAATGAACAAAATTTATGTAATTTTCCTTTAAACTACATAGATGCTTACTTTTGCCACTATTTATTTCAATGGTTGTTAAATAAAACTTGATGTAAGTTTTTGAATTATACTTTGCTGTCTCTACCTCGTTCTTCATTTCAGGAAAAAGAGAGAGAACTTGATACAAAAAATATCTATGCTAACCGTATGTTGAAGCCATCACCTAAAAAAGACACAGATCTTGCACAAAGAAAAAAAGGTAATTTTAAAAAGGAAATAAACAAAAAAGTTGCCTGCCAGTTAACTTTTCAAATAGGCACTCTTGCCTTACAATGTTCATGCCATTGTTTCATTTTGATCCTTCCCGGTCCTGTCCCAAGCTGTGGAGTTCTTCACGCTATTTAAAACATAGCATTCAAAACAAAAATTACAGTGCATTCCATTGATTATTTGACTGCCACCTAATAATAATACAATGAAGTCACCATATCCCCAACAAAACCAATAAGGCTGTCTGCTCTCAATTAATCAATTTACATTTATCGCAAGTGTTCAGGGTGGTGGGCATTGTTTAGAAATATTTTGCTATTAAATCACAACTAATTATCAGTTACTAGCTTGATTATAATTAAACCCACTGGAAATATGTACCACTGTCAATCCACATGACTGTTTCTCTAGATTTTGGTTAATTCCAGTTTGCAGAGTTTAGCTGTCTACTGAAAAAAAGTAGTACAGCCCATCTTCCTGAAAATAATTTTTCAAATATTACTGATATACTGATATTTTCCTGAGTCTGTAAGCTGTCTGTCTGTTTTACCTGTTGGGGCCAGATCCATTCACATTAAATCAGTAATAAGGTAAGCAGGCTTTTCTGTAGCTTTTTAAGTAGGTTTTGATGTCAATAATACTTTACGCTATTTTACAGCCTATCACTTTAATGGAAATATCCTGCTGTCATGCATCATCCGATGTATAGTTAGGTTAATTTGAAAGGCCATTCCACAGGGACAAGGTTGCAAGTCTCAAAAATGCAAGTGATCGACTATCCTATAGAATTAAGTTTGGTCTTTTTGTACCTCTAGAAGGAGCATCTCTGAGGGAGGAAAATTTGACCAAATCTAGGTAATTGGCAGATTGCGGGGGAGAAATAGCTACAGGGGATTTGTTTTAAAAGACGATTCAGTAGATGTTTTTATTTGTGGATATACTAAAACCATGGTGTCCAAGCCATTCTGAAGCAATAGCCACTATAGTGACCACTGCTATAGTCAGCTAACCACACTCAGCTGGCGAAATAGCCTCATGAGGCTAGTGGCTAGTGTGTTGGACACGATACTAGAAATACACTTGAACCTCAGTAATCAAGGTGCCTTAATCTAGGAACACCCATGGTTCAGACACTGGCAGGGGGAGGAGGAAGTGGCTCTCCACTGGGGAAATGGCAGTGCAGCAAAGTGCTTCTTCAGAGACTTCCCCCCATAGTGGTGAAACTATGAAAAACTTTAACTTTATGATACAAGTCAGAATGTGCCCCTGGGAGTGTGGCACCAGGTAAGTGCCCCACCCCAATCCCTCTCATTCCCAGACCCTGCACCATCCCCCCTCCTCCCCACCCCTCGGTATGGACACCCATGATCTGGAAAATTCCATAACCTGGCATATCCTCTTTCCTGAGGTTGCTGGATTAAAGAGGTTCAAGTGTGTCTTCAGACTTTTTCTAAATGCTTTCCTAGAATCTCAGGGAAGCTCCTTAGAATTTTGCAATATTTTCCACAGGTTCTCATTATCCCTAACTATGAAAAACTTTAACTTTATGATACAAGTCAGAAATATGTAAGACTTTGTTTTGTGTGGTTTTTTTTCCCCCTGTTCTTTCAAGTAAATGTTTTGTTTCAAAATTTAATCAAAATGGATATAAATCTCTCTCTTTCTCTCTCCCTCCTGCTGATCTTCACTAGAACAGGATGCTTTTCTTATATTCTTCCAAGTTATCAGAATACTGTTAGCTCCTAGGATTATAATCATGAGTTGCAAAGATGAAAAAATATATTTTTTAAATTTTGTGGTTCTTTTTATTTGGGAATATTTTGAATATAAAATATTAAAATATGACTTGTTTTATCTTTGTGTATTTTTGTTACAGCCACTAACCAAAATATTAAAAAAGGAATCCAGACTACAAAAGGAGTACAGACTAGTGGATATGTCTCACCAATAGAATTTCCTCCACCACCGGAGTTTGTATCTGTTTATGTAACAGAAGAGAAAGAAGAGGAGATTCTTCTCAGAATTGTGAGTTATTTTTAGTGCCAAATAATCCACCTAAGAAGCTACATTTTCTAAAGTCTAATTTATGTCTTAGGAAAACTATTAGAGTCTCAGATAAACCAAATTAGAGTTTTACATGTTGAAATTTCATATTCCTTTTAATCCTGTTTACTATCAGTAATTTACTCTGCATCTTTTA